GTGACCCTCCTGCCTGCGTTCGTTTGCACTTCTTCTTGCGTTGAGACCTGCTGGATTGGCCTTCGGGTGCAGCCTTGCGCGGTGCGGTGACGGTGGCCTCCGCTTTGTGCGCAGGTACCTGGAGGCGGCTGGACCCGCCGGTTTACACCAACACGGCCAAACCCGGGGCTGGGCCGCACCCCACCCCTACACCCAGGAAATCAGGCCCCCAGGTTTAGGGGAGGCCAGGCCAGGCACCTTTCTCTCTACTGATCACCTGCCCCCTAAGACAGGTGCCCACCCACAGCCTCCCGGCCGCCATTCCCGCCGCCCACTCCCACGTGGGGCCCAACTCCCACGTCCCGGCTCCAAACGCCCAAATGCGGTTGTTCCTGGGAAAATGTATCTTGACCTTCCGCGCCAGTGCCTCAGCGAGGGCTCCCTCACCAGCTCTGCACCCAGAACAAGGGAATGAGGAGGAAGGGTATTTTTCAGGGGGAATACTGAGGCGAGAGAAGAAAAAGAAGAGAGATGAGCAAGAGACTTCCTGGAGGTACCCAGGCTTAGGGCAGATGCAACGCTGTCTTCTTCAGTCCATTCCGGTAAACTCCGTGCCGTGCAGCCACCCCGTCTGGGTGCAACACCGTGTTTCTACCGACTGTCCTTCCCGACCTCAGGTTTCTACAGCTGTTCCCTCTGGAATCCCCTTCACTAGGTAAACACAGAAACCAAACAAACGAACAAAAAAGAAAAAGAAGCGAATCTCACTGCTTACTAAGTTGTCCTAAAAGGAGACAAACTCCTCAGTGTGGGTGGGGAGTCTCCCTGATGTGTTTGCCATGCACTTGGGGGTGGAGTAGTTCTCCCCTCCTCTCGGGCACTCAGTGGTGGAGTGCACACGTCCAGTTTCGCAAGAAAAATGCCGAAGTTGACATTTGGAGCGGGTGTTAGTGGGGGTGGCTATTTAAGAAATTATTTCACGAGAAACTGTGAACATAAATATTCGGCAGGATTCTGAGATGGCGACCAAATTTATGTATTTCTACTCGGACGAATAAACAGCAAAGGTTCCAACTAAAACAAACAAATTGGAAAATTCGCGTCTGAAGAGGGACTCCCGGAGACCTGCCACGTATTTAATTTACAAAACCCAGGCTGCTGTCCCCGAGGGTCGAATTCCCTGGGCACTCGCCAGGCCGGGTCCTCGGACGCAGAGACCCTGGCGCCGCAGTGTGTGTGTCTGGGGGTGGGGTGAAGGCCAGACTGTCAGGGGTCGGGGGTTCTCACACCTGATTTCACCCCAGGGCCCTGCTGGACGGGAAAGAGGCCCCGAGAGCAATTTTCTAAGAAAGATTTCGGAACCTCTGACCTAGAGGAGAGACGAGGCGCCCAGGAGACTAGACCTAACGAGATTGGGGAAAGGGGCCCTAAAACCAGCCGGGAGGGGAGTGGACACGGAGGTGCAGATGGGAAACATACAGAGTGAACAAAGGAGGGGTCGGGGTAAAGACGAGTGCCGCCAACCCACCCCGGTTGTGTGCAAATAGCTTGGCGTGAAGAATTTTAATAAGTTCATCTAGGATTTTTCTGGACCCCTGCAAGCGGGGGAGCGAAGCGAGGGCCGGGCGGGGGTGGCGCGCTCCTCGGCACCCCCAGGAGCGGGGCGGCCGGGCTTCCTGGGGGCGCAGCTGCGCCCGCCCGACCCCCGGGAGGCTCAGGACGGGTTTTGTGCGGCGCGTTCGGAAAGGTTTGTTCAGGGGTAGCCGGAGGCGATAGAGATGGGAG